TCATTGACCGCAAGATGAACATGAGCCTGCAATGCAATGCTACGGTTAGTAAAGTGACCAAAACGCTGGCTTTCATCTTTAGATGCTTCTCAAGCAAATCCCGGGACGTAATTCTCCCATTGTACTTGGCCTTGGTGAGGCCGTGGCTGGAGTACTGCGTCCAGTTTTGGGCCCCACAATTCAAAAAGGATGTGCAGAAGCTCGAGAGAGTCCAGAGAAGAGACACGTGCACGATCAGAGGTCAGGAAAACAAACCTTGCGATGACAGGCTGAGAGCTATGAGGCTCTTTAGCCTGGAAAAGCGCAGGCTCAGAGGCGATCTGATGGCCACCTATAAGTTTATCAGAGGTGACCTCCAGTACCTGGGGGAATGTTTGTTTATGAGAGCGCCCCAAGGGATGACAAGGTCAAATAGTTATAAACTACTGCGAGACCGTTTCAGGCCGGACATAAGGAAGAATTTCTGTACTGTCCAAGCACCCAAGCTCTGGACAAGCCTGCCATCAGAGGTGGTTCAAGCACCTACATTAAACACCTTCAAGAGTAAATTGGATGCTTATCTTGCTGGGATCCTATGACCCTAGCTAACTTCCTGCCCTTTGGGCAGAGGGCTGGACTCGATGATCTTCCAAGGTCCCTTCCAGCCCTAATGTCTATGAAATCTATGAAACCTTAAAGAAGGCAATCAAAGCTGTTCAATGGGCTGCTAAGAGGGAGGTGTCAAAATACTAGACCAGTGGCTCCCAACCTTTTTTTTTGCTGCGACCCTAAATCTGGGTCGTGACCCCTGCCCCCGCTTCACTCATGCCCAGTGGCACCAGCAGAGTCCGGGCCGGGCCAGGATTGCAGGAGACAGCGGTGGTGAGAGCTGCATAGACAATACACTGGAAGAGTTCTGCAGGCAGGAAGGTCTGAGTGAGGGGCAGACGCCCCACAACCCTGATTTGGGTCGTGACCCAAGATTGGGAGCCACTGTACTAGACCCTAACTACAGTGCCAGTTTTGGCTTCATTGCGAAACACTTTGAAAATGAGGAGAACATTTGTTTACAAACACTATTTTTCAGGCTGAGACACAAGAGGCATTACATAATTAGTTCATACCTGAATACAAGCACCAGTTTTCAGTTTGCATAAGCTACAGACCAAAGCCCATCGACTTGGTGGAATGTGAGACACTTTTGTGATTGGTTCCATCCTTTCTGGGCAAGCAATGCTCACCTGTAAGCAGAAAACAAAACAAAGCAGCATGTAAAGCTTTGATTGAGACACTTCCCTCTAGTACCTTAATGAAAAAAAAAAAAAGAACCATTACCCAGATATCACAAGGACATTGCAAATGCACGTATTTCCAAGCAAAAATCCTACTACATTGCCAAGATAAACAGAAGTGGGAAAGAGGGCTTGGGAAATCTTAATGAGGCTTATTAAAAAAGCTGGGATGAAGCTCTCAATGATGGTTCTGCAGAACCCAGCAAGGAGGATGGTACACTGAGCTTAGCTTGTAGTTGAATCTTGAACTCTGCCAATCTTTTTCCATGGCAGAGTACATTGCACCTCAGAATAACCAAAGTGTGCACGTGCATCTCATCTACCGACTTATATTGTAAATGTCTTTAATCAAGAGATTTAGGTATTCTGAAATGCACTATGTAAAGACAGCTAGAAATTATTATTTCTCATAGTACTGCAGCACCTAAGAACCCTCATCATCACATGCTACAAGACTGTGCGCTAATTTTTTTGCATAAATGATCTACTGTATTTAGTATTATACCTTCTTACCAGTATTCAAAAAATTAATATCTACAAGAAATTATACAGAAATGCAAGTGACACAAAATAAAGCAGGAACATTTATCTGTGCTTATCTGGAAATTGTCTCTGCAAGTAATGCTCGTCGATCCTTTACAATGGGCACAGCCTACTTTAAGGCTGGGGCAGAACTAGACCTCTCAAGTCCCTGGCAGCAGTGGAACCTGGGTCTCCTGAAGTTCACTCAGTTTGTGAAAACTTCTGTAAGGGGATAAACCAAATCTATTCACCCAAATTACAGATTATAATTTAATATACTTTAATATATTTTGAGGGAAAATGCACAATTTCTCTTACTGAAGATCATTGTAAAACTTCACCCAAATTCTTGAATGTCAATTTTCATCCCTATTCTAGATGATCCATTTTTGTCCAGGATGGGCCAGACCTGCAGATATTACTACCAGAAGGAAAGGGAAAATTCTGATGAGACCAGAACAATTTTCTGGTTCTTTGTGCTCAGGACTGCAGATCCATTGCAACAGCATTTTCACAGCAGGCTGCCTCCGTGCTGGGAAGAAGGATCATCTTTAAATGCGAGTATTCAAGCCAAGGTAGGTTATCTCCTCCACCTCTTCAAAGGCAGTAAGGATGGAAACAGATGCCACCTTTGTGTCGCCATAAGATTTTTTTCCTGTAGCCCACATATGTTTGCTTATGGAAAAGAAGCCCAGGCAGCATCACGCTACCCAGGCTCTTCAGCCTCCCTACAGCAGGGACTCCAGACTCAGGGGAGCCTGGCCCTTCCCCCCCACCACAATGGGATTCCTGGGCAGGATCGGCCTACTCAGGCCTTCAAAGCAGACTTGGCCAAAAAAAGGAAAATGGCATTAGTTAAGAATGAATGACTGTAACAGAATGCATGGCTCAGAGGCTGGAGTGCAGCTGCAGGGGGTTAGCATGGGACAGCCTGCCTACTTAGGAGCCCTCGGCCAGCTGACAACGATTACTGGCAGGCCCCAAGGAAAGTAAAAAGTTCCCAGGGAGGGTAGTTGAGGCAGAGGAAGAAAAGAGGAGGCTGATATGCTGAGGGAAAAGCACCTCTCTTTCTCTCTTTCCCAGTTGAAGGAAAGACCCGAGGTTTTATTTTTGTTTGTTATTTATACATTTGTTAATGTTATCACTTGCTTTGTTTGATGAGGTGATAAGCCTTTTGCATGTAAAAATCAGACTGGAAACAGGACCCACGTGCTGCCTAACGTTTATGAGGAAGTTGGCTCCTGAGTCAACCTCATAGAGGGACACCCTACTACAGTGACCAAAATGGAGAATTTATCAGCTTAAACATTGATGGCCAGGTGGCTGCCTAGCAAATTAAATACAAAAAACAGAACTTCTTTATCCTACTTCTGAAGACCAGACTCTGATGCCTTAACAAAGGAAGAATATTTCTTGAATTTACTTAGGAAATGAATGGCATGACAGTTATGAGGACTTCCTATTTCAAAGTGCAATACTGTATCTTAAAAGAAAAGGGTCTTAACTTCAAATAAAAAACCTTCTTCTGATTAAAGCAGACTTCACTATTGCTACTAGCTGAGATGGATGAGTCATTTAATGACACCTGCCAGTGGTTTGCTGTGTCCTTCTGTACACATCTCAGTGGGGCTTATTTTAAGCCTGACTGGTTCTGCAGTATCTGACCTCTTCCCTGAAACAGAGACAACCAAAGATCCATTATTAAGTTAACCAAACCAGATTACTATCACCCATATAGTCTGCAAGGCATTGACAGTATTAGAACCACTCTTGTTCCTATCTTTCGTATTGTTTTATGGAAGAACAACCATGGAAAAAGCACTAAGATACTATTTTATTTTTAAAGATACGAGATGATTGATCACCAGCTCTACAACTTGATTTGCAGTCAGGAAATTATTTCTGTATATGAAAAGCCACTCTGCTCATGTGACTTCTATCATGTAAACCATGCACCCAAAGAATGAACCTCCCCCAGGGAAAAAGTTGACCAGGTTCTTCCTTGTGAAAATCCCATCAGACACACTGACAGCTGCCTGACATTCTTCTAGACAATGCCTGGAAGAAGTGGTGTCTTGATATCTCAGCAAGTCTAGCTTTTGATGAAGGCTGTTTTCTCTTTTTCTAGTAGCTATTCTTTAAACTGAATCAAAAAGATTCCTTAAAAATTCCCTGCATTCAGCAGTTGTGAGCAGAGAGAACAGACAACTGGTGCTAGATACTTGACAATGTATGAAGAGGTACCAGAAACTCTGAATTAGAATTCCTAATAAGCAACAATATTTTTTTTTGTTTATTTTTAAGTTACACCACTTTCTTTTCATTATGGCTAGCTTCATTTTCTGTTAATATTTTTCTAAGATGTGTACTCACAGTGGACAACATCCATTCTGGATTAGGACTATGTCTAAATCCATTCCCCATAACCCTATGCCTGTGGTTGTATCAAGTCCCAGACACTCCAAAACCTGCGCAGCAAATTTGGTTCCCCACTCTGCATACAGAAGCTTTATCAGGAAAATTGTTTAGGAATAAAGAAGTTAAAAACCCGTATTATTGCTACTGTATTCCTTGAAAAGTCCTAGGAGCACATAAAAGCTCAAATGGTAAAGATATTGGCTCTTACCCACTTGAAGAGCATAAGAATTTTTCTGATAATGGTAAAATAGGAATATACCTGAAAAGATAAGTAGGGGTTCACGTATACAGATTTTCTTGGCTGATACCAATAGCTGATTCTTAACCAGGCATATCAGCTAATACCGATCTGATAGCTTATTTACAGAAATGCATCAGGGCAGCTTGGAGAACAGCATCAGTAAGTCTTTGGGTGGAAAGGGGTGTGGGGGAAGCAAGGGGCATGGGGGGGGAAGATCAAGGTCCCCATGGTGAGGGAGGGAGTGGGGCAGCAGCAGGAACAGGAGCTGCCCAGCTAGGGCAGTAAATGCACCCCTGGGGCCAGGAGTGGGACAGAATCTCAGGTGGCTAGTCCAGGCAGCGTGATGGGGGTGGGGGGTAGCTCCCTGTTGCTGTGCACACCCCCGGGGGTGACATGGGGGGCATGTGCACCTCCAGATTTCTGCATGGGTGAGGGAGGTCACTTTAATTGCCACGCTGTCTAGCTTGCAGGGATGTGGCCCTGCATGGCGTGTTTTAGTAACGAATGCATGTTCTAATGAATTAGCCCTATTAGGAGCTTCTCTTCTGAGTGCATGAATGCAACAGTCCTATGCTAGTACTGTCTGCAAGACAGCTTGTCCCATAGTTTACCAAATGTAGTTTTCCCCTCCTCTCAGGATGTGGAGTCA